TATGAATGGAGACTTGGATCTGCTGGTGGGAAACCCAGCGGCAAAGTCCTATTACTGGGCGCTACCCCTCCCACCGCAAGAAAAGATCCCGGGTGACAGCATCCTAGGCTCCTGCCATGGCTATGATTATTGAGCCGTCAAAAGATTTGTGGGTTCGCTCCTATGCTGCAGTAAGTGGGGCCAGGCTGGAGTTCCGGGTGTTCCGTTGGACCCTAGCAAGGTCACCGTGCAGGTCACCTTGTGGGGGATTTCCATGGAGGCTCTCTCATGGGGGGCTCTCTCTGGCGTGGGAAGCAATTGCGGATGATGGTGTCTACTATCAAGCAGTTATTTGCATGGGGGCTAAATTGCCTCTGGATCATTTCTGGCGCTCCAGCTACCCGTCCCCCGTCGCGGTGACCAGCATGTCGAGCACGACGGTTATTGCGCCTTTTATCGACTCAGACAGGGTGTGCCGTGAGTTTCGCAACCTGGAACACCTTTGGCTTGACTGGTGCCCTACAGCAGCGAACCCCGTTGTCTCCACGACAGATGGTGAGGACTTCGAAGACGTCCACTATGAGGTGAAGCATCAAGCCGGGCTATTCAAACAGGCGAGTGGCCATCGCACCACAATTCATGTCTTCACCTGCCCGCGTTATGCAACGGTGGACAGAGAGGGCCGTCCTAAAACCGAACATCACGTTGTTTGGGGGAGATGCCTGGGCAACTCGGGTGTGTCGCGGAGAATGCCGCGCAGTTTTGGCGAATCCAGGCAAGCCAGAGCCACACTTGTTTTCCAGCAATTGGAGGATGGCCCGTACAGTAGGGCGTTGTGAACACCTCTTGAGCACACGTGCGCGAGGACAAAAACGTGTCTTGGAGGCCAAGCTCGCTTTCGCAGAATATTGCTCACGCCCCCCCATTCAATATAGGGAGGAATTGACAACGAGCTAGGGCAATGGGGGCGCTGCCCGCTTGCCTGTAAAGCTGTCCTATGTGTAAGCCCAAGCTCTGGGGCTCGGACCTCGAGGATTGACATGACGCCTGGGTCCATGGTTATGTAACCCAAGACCGCAATGTTCCGGTTGCTGCGCATCTCCCCTAAACGACCATCTTTTCTGGGAAAGGCAACTAACTCTTATTCGGTTGCACCCTTGTAAATACGTTCGTTTTTGTGGCTGCTTTCAAAAAGGATTGAAATGCTTCATGCGAGTAACGCGGGAACACCGCAAGTTGGGACCCATGGGTCAAGTCTTACAGGCCCCGTGAGACCCCGGCACAAGCTGAGTCATGTCGCTAGATCTGTTCCGTTTCCTGTTTAACAGCTGCCAATACTGCATCAGCCTTGTCAGTAAGCGACCTAGTACTACAGGTGTTGAACGTCACGCGCAGGCCGTGAAGCTTACATGCGCCTTACATGCTCTGCAATGGGGGCGCTGCCCGCTTGCTGAGTGTTTTAGATTAGTCGTTTTTGACAGGTTTGCAGCCCTGCCATGAGTGCACTGCATGGGTCCCAGAATGGTTTCGGATGTGCAGCGCCACGGATCTGGGACTGCCTTGCGCAATACAGACTCAGTATCGCGGTAGTGCTCGCAGATCTTGCAGTCTCCCCCGTTGACAAATATGTTGCGCTTAGGGGTGCCATCATGGTCAGTGCATTCATGGGCTTGGGGCACACTTATGCGACCCAGGGCCATGAGGCAGACGAATCAGGATGCGTACATGGGCACTGGGCTGACGTCTCATGCCCTATTCTCCTGGGTCCATGGCGCAGGGGCACCGCTCCTTCCCCTTGCATGGTCGCCGATCTCGCCAAACTCGTCAAGTCACTCGACATCTGACCTGTAGATTAGTGTCAGGATGAGATGTTATGCGACAGCTGCCATATGCCATGATTTGGGAGGAGGAAGACGGCAGGACACTGCCGGCAACGTGGGTCGTGGTCTCGCTCCGAGCTACAGCCCCATGATCCATTTTCCGTTGCTTGAAGATGGAATGGAAGAATATTCTGCTTGGCGTCCAGCGGGGATGTCAGGCCGTAGAGCGCCTTTCGACCCATTACCAGCTTCAGCTACACTTCCCGACTTGGGTTTGGGATAATAAGCTGGCAGTATCTGACCTCACGCGCACAGGATACCAGGTCCTCAACCTGTTGGTTCACGGAGGGGTGTGGGCGCGTGGATACAACCACTCGGAGGACATCCTAGTGGTAGAGTACGCTAGAATCAACCAAGCCCTGCGGCGGACATGGGCGGCTCTTTCAAGATACCACCTCTGGTGGACGCTCAGTGAGTTTCTGCCGCACATTCTGCATCTAATCCCGAGACATATTAGGCGTATTAACCTCGAGGACGTCACCAACGGAGAGTCGGTTGCTGTCCCTGAAATTCCCATGCAGGCGATCTTGATCAATGAGGGTGGCCACTATTGGCGAGGCTCACGGCCCTGGCATGTGTGGCCGCCATACCCCAGCATTGACACCGCTTTCGAGTGGTGAGGTTTGAAACTGCTAGGACGTCACCGATCGGCCCGGATCTGAGCTTCAACAAAAGAAAAGGGGGGCCTTTGGCGAGGAGATTCTGCCGTGTAGGCCTCTCTGTTGTAGCATGAAGCCCCTAGGTCCTCTTTCTCCTTCGTTTTGCAGAGTCATACAGGGCTGGATTCGACAGTCGTCAATTTTTCTGCCTCGAGGATTTGTCAGGGACGAGGTGTGGAATAGGGGCGCTGCCCCTTTCCTGCCTCGGCCTGAACCAGCTCAGGGCGTACTAGGAAAGGTAGCAGAGTAGGGAATAGGGCGCTGCTCCTTCTCGGACCTCGCGATGCTGCGGTATATTGACGACATCCCCTATGAAGCACAAGTCATGATCTATCGCTACCTCGGGGGCTGCATCATTTTTGTGGCTGCCAGAGGCCGGCATGCAGACATCCGCAGGATGCAAGAAGCTAGGGTGGCAAGTGAGGTGGCGTCGGAGCTACCTGCTCCCCACAGGCGACCTTCTCTGCTTCGGGAAAGTACCTGGGATCTCCACCATCATTCATGGGGTGTCTTCTCCGCTGTGAACTTTCATACAGTAAAGTTCACCTCTCCCACCTGCCGGAAAAACCTGGACTTGCGCACCCGTCTAAAAGGCCTTCAGCCAGCCTTTGCGGTAACAGGAGAGGCGGCGAAGAATCTCCGCAGGTGGCTGTGAGCTCAGACGACTGGGATCAGCTCTTCTACGTCTTTTCCGTCGACGTCTTCTTGTCCGTGTCAGTTTACGCAGCGATAGAGCAGGGACTTAAGCTCCTTCGCCATCGAGTAGCATTGGCAGAGAGGAAGTCTCCACTCAAGGGTAGACTGGTTGGGCGGGCGGTGACAAGGACGCTGGACCTCCTGGCGACCCCACAGGTGTGGCGAGTGGTCGGGGTAGATTCCTACGTCCACAGCTGCGTCCTCACCAGGCGCTTGGTAGGGCTTGTCACACGAGGTGTCCACTGCGAGTACGATTGGCCAGTGCAGCGGCACCCATGGTACCCGCGCAACGCATGCGTGAGTTTTAGAAGCATTGACTGGATGGAAGTGAAGAAGCTTGCGACAGTCGAAGCCATGAATTTTGCGATCAACAAAGTCTAGGAACATGGAAAACAGGAAGAGATTTCGCAGGACTTGTTAGCCGGGGGTGCAACTGAAACAGTTTGGGTCTTTCCCTCCACCTGGCCCATGGAGATTCAATGCACTCATTTTCACACATGCTCCTCTAGCTGCGTGTCCCGGTGTGACTGCACTTGCATTTAAGAATCTCGCTACGCTGACTGTGCTTGAAGCAAGGAAGCGACTCCTTGCATCCCCAAATAGTGGTACCGCAGCAAGCCTGCAAAGGTAACACAGGTCTTCAGCAAGGTAAAGTTTCATTTTCGGGCAGCCACTTGAAGCCCAACATCCCTAGGAAGCGTACGGTCCAGGCACGAATTTAGTGAATGCGCTGCCAGATTGTCCCACCACAACGTTGCCTTGGCAAGAAGTGCTGGTCTGCGGGACACGACTGCGGCACGGCGGAAAATGTCAAGACCTGGGAAGTTAGGAATTTTCTTCCGCGGTTATTTTTTTTAAGCCCAAAGCAGGAGATTCTGAGTGAACATTATCAAAATTTTGCCGGTTCTCTGGACAGTTCAACCAACACAGGTGCGGCCTGTCGGCCATCCTGCCAGGGCATCGGCTAGTTAATTTGATATTTGGCCCAAAGATGTCTTCAGCTGCGTTGGCCCATCTGTCGTTGGAGACGCTCGCCTCTTTCTTTTGAACGGTATCCTCCTCACTCCCGGCCAATGCTAATCAACAGAGTTCTCGGCACAGGTCGCGTTTTGAGGCTGCGCCGGGATCGTCATCCTTTCCAGGCGCGTTTGGGCCGAAAACACACAAGACCAGGCCAAGCGCGCGAAAGTGTCGGCATATGTAGGGCCAGGCAGGAACTGCGAGCACAATGCGCGCAGTGATCCAAGCCAGTCAGCACAGGTCAGCCGCTGCACCAGCCACCTTCGGCCACCTGCAGTGCCAATCCTCAATTTGAAAGTTGATTAAATAGTCCTCAATCATTCCTCTAATGAAGTGCGCTCGAAAGAAAAACCGGCGTTGAGCAGTCATTGGGGTGCCTCCCAAGAAGGGCATGTCACAGAGCTTTGCCTGTCAAGGTGCATTTCACAAGACCAGTCCTGGTGAATGCGTTCATTTGTTCTTGTGGTATCGCCAAGAAAGCGTGCTGCCTTGTTGTTGTAGTTGGCTTTCAAGAGGAGATTACGCAATGAGGTTTTGCGAATCCAATAGAGAGGCATGTAGTTCCAATGTGAATTTCCGGAGACCCGCATGTTGCATGCGGTTGTGCATCATTAGTGGACATTTGGATGTTTTGTCTTGGTCCAGGCATGCGAGACTTGCTGCAACAACTGAAACGGTTTCTGTCCTAAGATGGGCAGGTCGAGGCTTACAATGTTGGGTTCATGTTCAGCCGCAGCCACCGGGCCAAGGCGTCCAGCGTTCGGGGATGGAAGCTTCCTGGCTAACAGGATGGCGCAGCTGGTTTCCTGGTGACTGCTGTCGCTCGGGCTGCGTGAGTGTCAACAGTGCTCTGTGGACTTATGGCCCGAAGCCAAGTTGGTACAAACAAGATGGCGCTGACGTCCAGAACATCCCCGTGACCGAGAGTGCTGCACGATCTGACGCCTGGCTGGACTTGCAAGGCGTCTGGTACCGTCAAAAGGACAACCGCTGTGTTGGAGAGATAAGTGGGCACCAGATGATTTGGCATGTGCAATGGAGCTTACCATGCAGCATTACCCGATTGCAGATGGAATCGCCCGAAGTGATTTGCTATCAGATGGAAAACCAGGTCATGATTGGCAGAGTTCAACGGGAGGCGCAGACCATACTGCTGTGGAATGACGGTGATGTTTGGCGACGGAAATGAAGACAACTGTACAGATTTCTTGTGATATAGTTATTGCGAAATAGAGATCAAGCTTTGGCTGTGGCGGCTTCCTGCGTGCTGTTTCTCCAGTACTGTTGCTATGGCAATCGGTGCGGTCTCACAACGCTGTTTTCGTGAATTCTGCAGTTTGTAGGGTACCTTGACCACGTGATGCACAGCACTTGGAAAAGATGCGTGCAGGCTTTCAGCAGGATCGAAGCCATTGTTTTTTTTTGTTATTGTGCGCAATTGAACAGTTTGGGAGGATCACGCCACGAAGCAAGCATGAGAAGGGTTAGATCGTTGGTTGCTGGATTGATTTTGCAGGTCTTGGCAGCTTCAGCTTTGCTGTATGTTTTGCGGGATAGCTCAACACAACTCCAGTGCCAAGTGGTAGATAAGGGATGTGTCTCCAACAAGTGGCCACTGAGATTCTGTCCTATGGCATGATGGCATGAAGTCATGTTCTCCTTCGCTCCTTGTTTGAAAGGATCGTCGCTGCAACATTTGTGTCATTTCTGCATTTCACGGTCCTACAGACGCTGAAAGGTGACTACTTCTCAGAGGTTTGTAGACGCATGTCTTGGCAGTTGCCAGTAGGTTGCCGCCGCCCTTTTGTCGGACGCCGTTTGCCCAGACTGCAACATTATTTGACATAAGCGCACATCAGGCAACAGCTTCACCTTCAGCCAACCAGCCCCCATCCACCATGTCAATCTATTCCCACCGCATTGCTGCTTACTGAGCTCTGTTGGCGCGTGCAAGATGACGATGAGGCTGCGTTGAGATGTTGAAGCTCTTGTCCACTTGCGGTCCAGCACGCCAGGTGCTTCATGCTACCTACATAAGATGTTCAAGAGGACCTTGTTCACCTTTTTGCCCCGAATAGTGCGGGCGCTTCACAAACTTAAGACCCTTCCTTCGCCTTGAACCCGTTGTTGATCAGCTCCTTTGTCAGGTCTTCCTCGCAAGGGCACAGCGGCCAGGAGGTGGGGGAAAATGGTTGGAAAGTATTTGAGGAGTCCCAAGGCTGATGTAGGGACTATGTAGGGTTCAGGGACATAAGGCCCAACATTGGAGTGTCAAATGGAACAGGCAAAGTGATGAAGAAGGATTACTTTGCAATTCGAGTTTGGAGTTTGGACAGTGGGGCGCCTAGGGCAAACCTGTAACCCTTTTAGAACCCTAAACCCTTTTTGCTGGACTCGTGCCATGGAGAAAAGGCCCGATAAACAAAACCTTTTTGTTGAGAGGGTACCTGGCCTGCAGCCAGGAAGTCTCTCCGTGTAATCCTTCACGGGAAAACAGCAACCTGTGCTAAACTCTCCAGTTGCCCGCCTCACAGAGCACGGTCATGCCAGAAAGATTCTGACTCGTTTGGAGAAGCTATGCGTACCATGCGATAGCAAGCTGCTAGGTCGATTTGGCTTCCCGGCCAGGACCTGAGCATGCACATCTGTTGATGGCCAACATTGGATGTGCACTCATGTGGTGAAGTTGAGCATTTCAGCAAGCTGACTGCATCACATTAATCCGTTCAAAGTCCTGCGCCTGCCTCACCCTGAACGGCCTCCCACCTACTAATGTAGTAGCTTCCATTTTGTTTTCCATTATCCCAATGTAATCCCTAGCATGGCCCCAATATATACACTGCACATGTAGTCACGATGCTGATTGCACTGAAGCTTCTTTTGCTTAATGCAGGGAGCCCTGGACTGGGGGTTAAGGATTTTAGCGGGGGTGCAGGGCCTGACTTGTCCTGTGTATTGTGGAGGAAGTCTCATTCCAACTTTCATTGCTGGACTTTCCACTGGGCTGCTCCTAGGAGGCCTCTTCACTGCCTGGATTTTGGTCCGTCCCTCTATCACCCTTGCTGCACCATCCTTCACGCCTACTCCAGGGCGTTCTGACACCGCTCCTACTCGGCGCGGGCAGGCTAACAGGCTTGCGGGGTACTTGAATGAGTGAGGGGGAAGCCGAGCTCATCTTCAGAGTAGGTGCCTTGAGGATAAGTGTAAGTGGGCCAGCCGAGGATACAGTCTCTGCAAGGAGGCGCATACTTGAGTGTTTGGCCCCTGCATCGTCAGCTGCCTCTCCCAGGTCCCAATCCTCCTTCTCTGTGATTGATCCGCCCGCTCAACAGGCCAGGCCTGTAACCTCTAGCGAGGACGGCCCTCAACAGACTGAATCTCGGGACGACGTGCGATTGTCGTTCCCTCCTCTTCCTGCCCGTTGGGCTTCTTCTGCAGGCCAGTTGCATTGCAGTAGTGTTTCGGGGTTGGATAGGGTTAACCGGGCTTGGGTTGCTGGCCTTTGGGCCAGAGCAACTTTGGACGGGAGAGTCCCTTCTCCTTCCCACACACCTACCCTCAACCTTCCTGCAAAACACTACATCATTTTACGAGCCCCTGGCCTTGCCAATCCTGCCCTTGTTGGGTCCTCCGGCGCCTACTTTGACATCGTCGGAAGGCCTTTTGCAAAGAGCACAGTTTCCCATAGACCCTCTGCTAGATTCTCCCCTTCAGGGCTCCAGTGTAGGATCGCGTGGCGCCTTAGGAAGAGCAAAGCTGCAGTCAGAGTTGGCTACGAAAAAGGGAGGCTTTTACACAAAGGTTCTCCAGGCAGCCGCCAGACGTATGGACCCCACTCAGAGTTGCGATCAGGACCCCTCCTCTCTCAGGGCGTCGGGCCTCTCCATGGCCAAGTATCTGGAAAGGTTCGGCGGCTATGGTCAGTTGAAAAGCATAGCTTTGATCCAGTGGCAAGTCTGCATTGCCCTAGATCTTGCGATGAGCGACCAAATCGAGGGTTGCCGCGATGTCCTGGCCCTCCTCTGCGTATGCTTGGAACAATGCTCTCTGGACAATGGGAGCATGGACGTGGGTTACCTGCTCACTCTGCAGGAAGAGCCGCCAGCTGCCATCATGAGCAACCGCAGTCTCATGAGTGTGGGAGGGAGGAGCCGTGCTTTCGCCCCCTTAGCGGATCAAAGGTGGATAACCACATCACTCGCGTACCTACGCGAGCTAGATCTGATAACTCAGAGAAGGAGCGACGCATTGGCGGATCCCCCGCCAGCAAGCAAGGGACAGGCAGCCGAAGAAGGAACAGGGTGGAAGAAAAAGAAAGCAAAGGGGCAATGGACAAAGAAGGCAGAGTGAGTGGGACAGCCGTTCTGTGCCTAGATCGTCTTGTGCCGCCTCCAGGCCTGCATGCAGATCCCACTTTTGACCCTTCTAGACCCCTTTGTGGTTTAGGTCCCTTAGACCTGAGTAGATTTGCCCCTAGCGTCCCGCCTGGATTCCTTCCGCCTTTCTCTCCTCATGTCGATGGGGGGCCTGCTTCCTTGCCAGCTTTGCCGCCTAACTCTGCGTCCCTTCCCATGTCCTTGCCTGGAACCCTAGGTCTGGTTTAGGTAGTCCTTCTTACCCTCACTTCCCTAGGTGCCTTCCTGCCTTTGTGCACGGCGCGGAGCATGATGTGCTCAGCAATGGTTGCCCTAACCCTAGTTCTGGTTTAGGTAGTCCTCCGTACCCTGGGTCCCCTAGTTGCCACCCTTTCCTGAAATCGCGTGCCGAAGCGCTCGACCGGGCACATGCCTTGCTCAGCCACGGTTGCCCTAACCCTAATTTTGGTTTAGGCAGCCCTAACCCCTCGCCTGGTTTTGCCCTACCCCTAGGTAGTCCTGTTCCCCTTAGGGTTGCCCAGGAGAAGAGCAAAGACACAAGTGGCAAGGCACTGTCTCATCCTCGCCCATCGCATGCACCTGAGGCTCCTTTCTTGCAACAGCAGGCGCCGCATGTTCCTTTCAAGGCTGCCATGCATAGAGAGAGAGGGTCCAACAGGTCTCTCGTCAATGCTTCGCACCATGCTTCCCCTGCTTGTAGCGGAAGAAGCAGCTCCCCCGGACCTCTTGGGTTCGACGAGGAGATCTCTTTTCGGTCGATGCTGTCCAGCCTTCCTCGGGCAGTTGTGGCCTGTAACACTAAGTTTTCTAAGTTCCTGAGTTCAACCTTTCGTCTGCAGAGGGCCGGCGCTCCTGCCCCCTCTTCCGTACTTTATCCGCTTCCTGTGCCTTTTCCAGGCGTCTTCCATGCAAGTGGCCCGATGTTGGCGCAGAAGCGGTTTGAACGGCTTGCGTTCAAACGAGGGGTGCACGTCCTTGCCATGTGCCTGAACTATGTCTTCTGCGGGCGGAAGTGGATTCCCCCTGCCGAACTTCGGAGACCGCCCAATCAACAGCAACTTGCTGCTTTCAGCCAGATTAGGCGGTTCCTTGGTACGTGTGGCTCCCAGGCCCCCCAGTTTGCATCCTGCCCTGGGCGCCGGAGCCATGAATTAACTGCATGCCTGAGAAATCTCTGTGCTTTCCTTGGAGATAGTGGTGCTGTCTCTGGCCGTGCCCCTTACGCCGAGAACGCATTTTCGTCTGTGAGAGGTCGTGCGCCACCTGTCGACCCTGATCGGCCTGAGCTGAAGCCCTACTCCAACCTGTGTGCTGACCGGCTAAAAATGTCTGGCTCTGCTTCCTTCTGGCCTCTGCCATTTCTGCAACCGATTCTGATCATGCCTTTCCTGGAGCCTCGAGTCCTCAGGTTCAAGTCTGAAGAACCGCGCGAGCCGCACCCGAGATTTTGCACTGACTCCCATGATGAGCTCCTCATGCTTTACCGCCAATGGGCGAGTCTGGGCCTCCTCACCTTCACGGATGAGCAAGTGCCTGAATGGCAGAAAGTGCGAGTATTCAATGCTCGCAAGAACTCCTTGGTAGACAGGCAGATAGGAGATCGTCGATCTCTAAATTTGATAGAGAGGGGGGTGCCGGGACCTTCGTCATTCCTCCCCACCGGACCTTTGCTTTGCAACATTCTGCTTCGCCCGAGATGCCTCCTGGTAGGTTGCTGCACAGACCGGAGAGATTACTACCGCCAGATTAAGATCTCGCCTCAAAAGGCCTCCTGCAATCCTGTCGGTCCCCGGATCTCGATTGATCGCCTTGC